CCTCCTTCTGATCCCACCTATCCCGCATCCCCCCACAGATGCCACTTGCCCTCCCCCTAGCGCTAATAAATGGACTTGTTGCGATACATTGAGTAGCTTCCATACCACTGCTGCCTTTAATGTAGCCCAGTGCTCTCGCCATCCGCAGCTGTGAACATGACTCGTGATGCATATATATATATGCATATATATACATATACATACATACATACACACACACACACACATACACACACACACACACACACACACACACACATACACACGTGCTGCAAGAGGTTAGTTACCCTCCTTCCTTCTCCTCAGGGCAGAAGAGCATGGGCTAGGCTCTTGCATACAGCTGCACTGCCTGCCGCACAGGCACAGCCCCAGTGCCACCCCCAGAACGACAGCACACGCCAGACATGTTCTTACCACTGTAAAAACGGATCATGCAGCTGAGGTCTGCGTTTGCTGCCTCCTCCTGTATCCTCAAGGGATCTTCGAACCCAAGGCTGGCCAGGTACTCGTACACGATCTGCAGGGGCTTCTCTGTGGGCTCCAGCCGCCTGGGGATGAAGTGCAGGAAAGGAAATTAGTTTGCCAAGGCCTGGCCCTAATCCCAGGCCCTTGCTGCTGCTACAGTACGGAAGGGGCCCAGCACCCTTGGCCATGCTGGCAGGGCCCCCAGATCCATGCTCCCTGCCACAAGACATGCAAACACTTTTGGTGCTGCCCTCCTGATCCCCGAGGCATGAGACAGCTCCTCGACAGTCGCATGCCAGACAGGCTTCCCACAGCACCTTTCACTCTGCACCCAGCAAAGCTCCCACTGCCTGATCCAACTTAGCCCCAGCCACACAGTGCAAGCTGCCCCCCGCCTCCCCTTCAAATGCAGCTGAGAGCAGAGCACATCAAAGAGCACGCTGGTCTGGCACTCCTGGAACAAGACACTCGAGAGTCGTCCCCGACAAAGCACATCTCTGTAGCTGCAGGAGGTGGCCAGAGCGGTGCCAGGACCCCCGGGGATGGGACGCAGCAGCCTCCCCAGAGCACAGGATGACAGCAGACAGAGCCAGAGTGCAGCCCTGCTCTTCTCTTGTCTCCTGCACTGCAAAGGCCAGAGACTCACTGAGCAATCCTGGCAGCCCGCCCCGGCTTCTGCCCAAGCCAGAGCAGCCCAGAGACCGATGCCAGCCACAGCAACAGGACCTGGAGTCAGGACGACTCCCCTCTGGCAACTGCTCCCACAGGCAAGCCAGCCTCACCAATAAAACCTTTCCTTTGCTCCTACTCTGAGTTTCCTTCTCTTCCTTTGCCCATGACTGCTCCTCGCTATATTCCTTTCCTGGCTTAATGGCTGCTTCCCTTGCCGGTATTTACAACCCATGATGAAAGTTGCCTTTTCCCCCTCTCCTGTGAGTGCATGGAGGTCTCGGGGGAAGGCAGGTTTGTCAGACAGCCAAGCGGCACGCGCAGCTCTTTGCTGAGCATCCCAGTGGATGTGCTGACAGGGCAGCCAGGGCAGGACGTGCGGTTCCTGCCTGCTGAGGCAGCGCAGCCGTCTGGCCTTTCCTGCCCGCGCCCTCTCGCCATCATGCTGCTGGGAGCCCACATGCAGGGTGCTCCCTGCTGTGACCCACAAGCCCATCTCCGAGCTGCTGCTTTCCCAATTCCAGCCCCTCCTGGCTGCAAACATCACGCACCTCACGGCAGGACCTCGGACCCGCTGCAATGAAATACGCGTTCGAGCACGTTCTTTTTCCACGTCACCAGAGCTGCGTGGAGCTGAGCCACCCCCTTCCCCATGCTAGACTGGCCTCTGCTCTCAGCCTCTCAAATAACGCTCCCAGGCTCCTGGGGCCTAGGCACTTTGCTCCCTGCCAGCCCTGCCTGGCTGCTGCGACGAGGCACAAGCCAGGGCCTGGCACCCTCCACGCTCTCCGGCCCCCACACGGAGCTCAGCCTCTCCCACCCGCTCCACACTGCTCCAGCACCGCAACAGCATCGGCCAGCTGCGTCCCAAGGAAAGGGCGGTAGCGCCGTGCCAGCCAGGACAACCTTCCCAGGCAAAACAGGAGGGGCCTGCTGGCCAGCTGGACCAGACAGAGCCGCCAGCTACCGCCCCGCACGTGCGAGGAAGAGCCTGGAGGGGTCCAGCACAGGAAACCTGCCCCCGCCTCCCAGGCACGGCAGCTGCTCCCCTTGCCGCCGGCTGCCAGCGAGCACGTACGCGACATTAGGACGCAGGGGCGCTGAAGCAGCAGCCGTTTCCTCGCGCAAGGCCGCACCCAGTGGCCGCGCGACAAGACCGTCAGACACGGCGATGGAGGCACTGGGCAGAGGCCGGAGCCCTCGTGATTTAGGAGGAGACTGCGGGGACCTGAGCGGCTCCTCTCCAGTGCCAGGACAGCGGGGTCAGGAGGCCCGAGGGGACCAGCCACAGAGACACAACCACAGGGGCGAGGCGTTCGCCCAGCCCCGCTCCTACAGGCGCGAGACAGCTCGC